GGCATGATTTATTACTCGTACAATGATTGGTTTGATAGAGTGCATGAGAATTAAATTTAGGACAGTTGTTTGGCCATCTAGGAAAGAACAAACACACTTATGATGAACATAATCAGGGCCAAATACTACCCAGGTAGTATTTTATTGCTATAAAATAGATGTTTTTAAAGTAGGATGGCAGTCAACTAACTTTAGAGGAAAATAATACAACTTAAAACCACTGGGTGACATAAACAAATGTGGGAATTTCAAAAAAGCTTAGTAAAGGCATCAAATGGATTGATAAATATTAAAAAGACACAGCTTCTTATTAAATAGTTTAATGGAATCAATTAATCTGACATGCTTTAAAAAAAATCAAATGCTCCCACTTGAAGATAATTGTCATATTAGGCAAGATGTGTTTCATTTCTAAAGAATGTATATTAAGACTTGTTTTCACTATATATAAAGAAACTTGGAATTTTAAAATATTAATAGGAATTATAATGAATCTCAGGTCTGCAAATGTTCCAATCTACTTTTAATATCAATTGTTGCTTTTTTCCCAATTACTTTCTTTTCCCCTGAATCCTACATCATTTCTTCTAAAAGTACCTCTACTTTCACTGCTTTTTTAAAAAAATTGTGCTTTCATTTTTACAGTGTTCTGTTGGTTTCTGCCATCCACCTCGAATCAGCCATAATTATACACATGTCCCTTCTCTTGTGAGCCTCCCTGCCCATCCCAATCCCACCCTTTAGGTCATCACAGAGCCCCAGGCTGGGCTTCAGTGTTATAAAGCAACTTCTCACCAGCTATCCATTTTACACTTGATAGATTTTTTAAAAATATAAAAATATCTTAATACACATGCATTATCTCTATCCCATGATTCTTTTTAACAAAAATTTATTTTGTTTGTGCTTGGCCCACTCTTTCATAATGTGAACAGGACCATTCATGTTGAAATATCAGTGATTACAAACAAGGACATGTAACATTGGCTGTAAAATTAGTAACATAAGTTGCACACACTGGTCACAGCTAGATAAAAGTAAAAACTTCAGACATTGATTTGGCAAGATCAGAATCTCAGTGTCCTAATGGCTGGCCTTGTAGGATTAATCGTTTGAACAATTTAATGCTTTACTTTTCATCTGCCTTTTTCTTACAAGGTTAATTATAATTACAGCATACCAAGTAGACTCCAAGTTTTTGTGTGTGTAAACCCAATTTTTAAATGGAGCTATTTTTTGAATTAGGATGAATTTTACTTTGCTTTGTTTGGATCATGTGCTAAGTCGCGTCACTCATGTCCAACTGGTTGTGACCCCAGGCTCCTCTGTCCCTAGGATTCTCCAGGCAAGAATGCTGGAGTGGGTTGCTGTATCCTGCTCCAAAGGGCCTTTCCAACCCAGGGATCAAACCCACATCTCTCATGTCTCCTTCATTGGCAGGTGGATTTTTACCACTAGCACCACCTGGGAAGCCCTAGTTTTGATCACAGCAGAACACAAAAAAGAATGTGCCAGTGAATTTCTCAAACCCCAAGAAAGGCATGGGTGGTCTGCAGAGGACTTCTCCTTCCAGTGGTGAAAACCCTCCACTGTCGTGGGGGTGAGCCCAGCACAGACCATCCGGTGGAACGAACGGTTAAGTTTAACTGAAAGCTAGAAAGTAGCTGATTGTGAAAATAACTTTCTGATGGTGATTATTTTTAGATATATTTTTTTTCTATGAGGGTGGAAATAGGTTTGGTGAAGTTTATTTATAAAATCTTCTATGTGTTTTTTGGGCATTTCACTTTTGTATTAGAACATTTATTTTTTCACAAAGACATTGGAAAAAGCAAGCTTCCCCTTGTAAAGTGAGCTGATTTAAGGGAATCAAGCAAACAGTTGATTCCATTTTGAACATCTGAAACCATACACAAAATGACAGCCATATTCGGGTAAATACATCAAATATACAGAAATGTATAAAACTTAATCATGTCATTTATAGTGTGGCTGTTAAGCAGCTAATTGCATTGGAAAATATGTTGAAGAATAAGGGAGTCACCTCGGCAATCCACTCACAGAGCTCTTAGATTAAATGGGAGGGACTCTGCGTCCACGTGAAACACTCTGGTTCCGGCTTGTACATGCGCTGGGGCATTGCAGAGTTCTCACCTGGCTCAGGCGGGCCTGAAGATGCTTCATCACAGGGGACCTGGGCTATACTCTGCAGCCTGGAACTGGCTCCAGCTCCATCAGTCGGGAGTCATCAGACTCTGGCCCCAAGGGTCCTGGGCAGACCCCCGTGGGCCTGGACTTGATGTCCAGGGGGACTGGTGATGCCAGGGTGGAGAGGATGCTCATAAGTCACTAGCTCTTCTTGCCAGAATTCCTAGACTGTCCCAGAGAGGAACAGATGAGCTCACCGTGTTCCCACACCAGCACGCTTGCATTACCTGAGGGCAGCTAGCCCTCACCGGTGCTGGAACACGGGATTTGTTTTGAATAGCTTTAGATTCTTATAACTGTTTGAATCTCCTTCTCAGGCCAACAGCAGTCCGGCCTGCTTTCTGCACGTCCGTGGCCACTCCCTGTCTCTAGGGTACTGATGTCAGGATGGGCAGCGAGAGGACAGCCACTGGATACCTCCCCTTAAATCGTGTCTCCACATCTGTTCAGACCTCAGGGAAGCTGGCTGCCAGCTTAGACTGCGAGGAGCCTCCGTGCACACGGCACCCTGCAGTCGTGTTGGTGGTTTCTGGACTGTTGAGGGAGAGCAAAGAACTGTGTCTCTCTAGTTGAAGGTAAATATAATGGCATGCTAGAAAGACAGCTTTCATGGACTGTACGCTGGTAGTCAAATGCCTTTTGTGGCTTTGCTCACCGAATCTGACCCAACATTTTGAGTCCCATAAGGTTACACTGAAGAGGATTTTATTTTTGCTCTTGTTCAGTCTCTGTCATTCCTGACTCTTTGCGGCCCCATGGACTGCGCAACGCTAAGCTTCTCTGTTCTTCACTATCTCCCTGTGCTTGCTCAAATTCATGTCCATTGAGTCTATTGAATCCTGGACGCCATCCAACCGTCTCATCTTCTGTTGTCCCCTTCTCCTCCTGCCCTCACTCTTTCTCAGCATCAGGGTCTCTTCTAATGAGTCAGCTCTTCGTATCAGGTGGCCAAAGTATTGGAGCTTCAGCATCAGTCCTTCCAATGAATATTTTAGTTAAATATAAATTGGGTGATTACTTATTTCCTACTTCAAGAATACCATGACTGGTACCCCATCTCAGTTTTTATCTGCTGTAGTAATAGCTAATATTTATTAAGCTCTTATGACATGCCGGGCACTAGATATCATGTGACTCCAACACCAGCCCATGAGGTGGAGAAAAACTCTTTCTGCATTTAACTGATGACTAAATTAGAACCACTGAAGTCAGGAGACTGGCCCCCTATCTCACAGACAGCTGTGGGGCCAGGACAAGGACCCATGGCTTCTTCAAGCTGCCGCCCATGCTCTCTGCTTCTTCGCAAGTTCAAGCCCCAGGTACAGGGGACACACCTGTACCATCAGGGTTCCCATTACAGAGTCCCTGTGTCACGGGGGGCAGGGACACTTCCTGGGGAGCAAAGACAAGCCCGTTGTGCCCACTGAAATCGTCCATGGTAGGGGTATTGTTTGGATCAAACTAGGTTTATATACCCGAGTTCCAGGGAGACTAGTTAAGTGTCACCGTCACCATGAAAACCCTGGGATGGTTCTGCTTCCCCAGATCCTCTCCCTCAAACGTGCTTAGCCTGGGGGTCCTCCCAAGCAGAGCTGTCAGAACACTCTGGGCAGCTGCTCAGAGAGGGATCTGGGGGCCCCTGCCTTTGTGCTCCGGGAACAAGTCAGGATCTTGAGCATGTTCTGGGCTTCTCCTTTGACCCGACCTCCAGGATGTGACCACTGACCCCCACGGCCGCTGGGACAGAGGACCCCAGCCCTGGGTCTGGGGGCGATCAGTAGGGAACCACCAGATCCCCACCACGAGCTGCAGACACAAACAGCACCCATGATGCAGAAATTGCCTTGGCGTGCGGGTCAGTGGTGATTTCATTTGTAAGTAATGTTTTGATTGTCACAGATTATATGTTGCCCTCCCCGCCTGACATTTGTTGTACAGCGGGATTGATTTTTGTGCTCCAGTATGAAAAGGTCACTTTGATCAATGCAGTGTAATTGGCACTAAATTAGGATCATATCAGGTTATTTTGCTATTTAATGATGAAATATTAAAGAAAAGCAGGGGTAGATTGCAGACACTAACGTGCACTTGAAACCTGCTGTAATGATGCTTGATTTTGTAAGAAAAATGGAGAGAAAAACAACTCAAGTGCCGAAAATGACTGTGATGTATTGGAAGAGTGGCTCGGAATGATGTATTTTCGTTGGAGAAAGACTGAAAGCCCCAGACACAAAACACGCAGCCCAGCAGTCAGTTCTGCCCTGCTGCACAGAGAGAAGCCTTATAAAGGACCCTATTGATGAGGGGCTCATTACGTGCTAGTTAGAAGGGCTAAGCCTTTCCCTTCTGCATATAGTAATTACGTCTAAAAACATGCGAGCGCCCTGCACCCACTTATTAGACAAATCTCAGCCTTTGATAACCTGTGACTTGGTTATGGTTCCCCAGGTTCCAACGCTTTTCTGCTTGTGGAGAGTATTTCAAGCCCCTTGTCTGTTTTTACGGGTTTGCACCTAAAGGAATTGTAAGCATCGCATGGAGTGTTAAATACCGTGTGTTATTTTCTCCCTTGTAAATAGACGCGTTCCCCCATTATTCTGAAATGTTGTTGAGCAAGAAAAAGCTGCATAAGATTATACTTTTAAATGCAGCTAATGTTGCAGGAAATTTGCCAGGCGCTTTGCTGCCATTAAGTATATCATCAGGCTGCAGCGTGAACTTAACCGGCGTCTTGGAGATGTTAACCTTTTTAGCAGTTAGAAATATGGCACCACAGTTATTGATAAAATAATTCAGGTGCCATTTGATAGGAAAGGGGAGGGAGTGGCGGCAGCCACAGGGTGTGTCCTGGAGCAGACCAAGGACAGGGAGTCGGGGGCCTCGGAGCCGAAGGTCACCGTCTTTCCCAAGGAGATTTCAGACAGGGCCCCTGGACAGCCGTTCCAGCTTCCAGGACACATAAGGATGACGACACTGTAAAGCGAGTGGTTCATGGTGGCGTCTGAGCCGCGCCGTGCCTTTTGTCCAGAACGACACCTGTCATTTGGGGTCAGGAGGATGTTTTTATTTATGTTAGTGTCTGCGGTGAGTGGAGTTGTGTCTCCCCCAGAAGCTGCGTTCAAGTCCTGACCCCTGTTCCTGGGAAAGTGGCTCATTGGAAATAACGTTTCTGCAAATGGGGTCAAGTTAGATGAAGTCACTGCGGGCGAACTGGCCCAGGACTGGTGTCCTTCCAGAAGGGAGGACCAAGGAGCAGAGGAGACCCGGCGAGAAGCTACACATGGACACAGAAACTGCACAGACCTGTCTACAGGCCGAGGGCCAGTGAGGGTCAGCATCCATGCCAGCAGCTGGGAGAGGCAGGAGGCCCTGCCCCCCGAGACCCTCCCTGGCGTCTCTCAGGGACCACAGCACTGCAGACAGCTGGAGCTTGGATTTCTGGCCTCTAGGACACCTAGGAAATAAATTCCTATTGTTTTAAGCCACTCAGTCTTTGTTACAGTGGTCCTAGGAAACTACCGTAATATCACAATATTTTAGCTGAAAGCATTCAACGCTATTACATTTCCCCCCAAACCAGCCCTCTGAAAATACCCCGCTTGTCTCATGGGCATTGCCAGAGAGAACAGGGGCCCAGACCCCACACCAGCATGAGGAGGATCCCCTGAAGGAGGGGAGCTGAGCCGTGGACACCGCACCCCGCCCACGGTGACCCCTGCACCTGGACGGAGCAGAGCCTGCATGTCTGGAAGAGGCAGGAAGGGAGCACTCGAGGTGGGTCAGCCAGATGCCGAGGTGAGTGATGGGAACCATCCCCTCCCAGACTGGACCCAGGGATCGGGAGCAGTGCCAGAATCCTGGACCACACGGATCTGTTCATCATGTCCACCCGTTCCCCATGCCGGGTCTGCCCTGGCCTATCTGCAGGTGACCCAGGGAACTGGCCACATCCCGCTGCTGTGACTGGTTTCAAGGCCCTGGGGACCTTCTCCCCACCACCCTGTCACCACCATTCCAGATCCACCTTAACCCTGGACAGCAGTTCAGTCCATCCAGCTTGTGTTGGAGCTGAGGCTCCTTGAAGTTCATCTGCAGCGGGTCTGAGCCTTTGGTTGTCTGTCCCTTCTCAGGCTGAAAGAACATTTGCCATTGTCACCGAAATGGAAACACTAGGAGGTGCCCGTATGTCCCATATTCGCTCAGATACATTCAGAAATATCCATGCTGTTGTTGTTCAGTTACTCAGCCATGTCTGACTCTGAGACCCCAGGGACTGTAGCACACCAGGCTCCTCTGTCCAGGAATTCTCCAGGCAAGAATACTGGAGTGGGTTGCCATGCCCTTCTCCAGGGGAATCTTCCCAACCCAGGGATAGAACCCAAGTCTCCCACGTCTCCTACATTAGCAGGCAGATTCTTTACCACTGTGCCAGCAGGGAAGCTGCAATATACATATATAAATCTAGACATATCTATATATATGCATCTCGTCATACTTGCTCATACCCCTCTACCCAATCAGAACTTCTTCTCTGCTCCCAGACGCAGCAGCCTCCTGCCTCCTGTGATAACCATGGTGGATCATCCTGGCCAAGCAGCTCCCCCAGAAGGCCCTTTGACAGCGGGGAGTTGAGGTCTGCACCTCTGAGGCTCACTAGCCAGCCAGCCCACCCGCACAAGGACTGCACAGGGCGGAGGGCTGGCTCCTGGGCTCCTTTTCTGTCCCCTGGGGAAAGTGTCCTCCTGCTTCCAACAAGACCTCACGTCCTGCAAACCCCAGGGTGCACAGACCCTGAAGAGGTCACCAGGGCAAAGGAACGGGGCAGTTCCACCTGCATCCTGAGTCTTAGACCTGTGCCCTGCTCCCCACCCCTACTGAGGAATTCCAGGCAAGTCCATTGTTTCTGGCAGAATTCCCATCTTGGAGAAGAGCTTCCCAGCAGTTCAGCATTGTCCTGACATGACCCTTCCTTGGAGCACTTAGGCCACTCCGGTTCCCAGGAGAGCTGCTGCTTCTGGGTGGGCTAGGGACTGGTCGTCCTGGGCTCCGGACACAGCTCCTCAGACGGACCCTAGGCTGAGGTCGAGTCATCCCGTCTTAGGCTGGTGAATGCAGATCCCTGCACACCTTCTGTGGAGAAGACAATGGCACTCCTCTCCAGTACCTGGAAAATCCCATGGACGGAGGAGCCTGGGGGGCTGCAGTCCATGGGGTCGCTAAGAGTCGGACGCAACTGAGCGACTTCACTTTCACTGTTCACTTCCATGCATTGGAGGAGGAAATGGCAACCCACTCCAGTGTTCTTGCCTGGAGAATCCCAGGGATGGGGGAGCCTGGTGGGCTGCCGTCTATGAGGTTGCACAGAGTCGGACATGACTGAAGCGACTCAGCAGCAGCAGCAGCACACCTTCTGTGCAACAGCACAGCATGCGGGGTGGCAGACCGTACCAGAAGCAGGTACTAGTCCCAGGAAGGGTGAGGCGCTCTCTGTCCAGAGCAGAAGTGGGTCATCACCGACCTGCAGGACACGGCTGTGGACTCCTTGGACTCAGGGCTGTCCTAGAGAGAACAGCACTTACTCGCTCAGGGCATGAGACTGGTGTCCAGATGAGGCCCACAATGAAGCTGGTGCCCAGGTTGGACTTGAGCCGGCTCTGTGGCCTCCTCCCCACTGTCCCACCGTGATGTGGGCTCCCATGTGTCTCGGGTCTGGGGAGGGTCTGCGGGGACCCGAGAAGCAGAGCTGTGAGTGTCAGTTCAGTCTCTACCAATGACTAGCTGTGCAACCTTGGCTCCATGTATTAACCACCCTGAAGCTCCGTTTCATGTGCAAAGATAACAACAACATGCTTGACTGCAAAGGGCGGTGGGCACAGTGCCTGGGGCACAGAAGTGTATTCTTCCTCCCACGCCTCCCATCAGGTTCTTACTCTGCACAACCGACAACCCTTTCATGAATGCTTTTTTTAACGAAGCATTCGCCTTGTAGGGATTTTCTAAAGTAACTCCATAAGCTCATGACTTTTGGACTAGAAAATCCTGGTAACCAACCGTTGAATCTGCTTAAGAAGTTAATGTCCCAACCCACTCTTAACCTCAAAAGATCACTTTGGTGAGTTTGGTAAGGAAATGAAAATGATTAAAAAAACAAACAAGTTGGTGTTGTGGTTTCCATCCCTTGCTGGGTTTCTCCTCAGTCGGTCCCCAGGGTGTGAAGGGCTGGGACCCCGGGCCCTTTTCCGTGTCTTCTCCTGGTCAGTCCAGCTCTGCGCGGCAGGCAGCAGCTCCAGATGGACCGGCCGCCTCTGGCTCTCTCTGCATGTTTAGAGCAGCTGCTTTCCAGGGAAAGCCCGTGTCCAGCCCCCGGCACGGGCCTCCCACCAGGTGTCCAGCACCAGGGCTCCCCGCCAGGGAGACATCCAGCAAAGCTGACGTGTCCGTCCTCAGACCCTGCAACTACAAAGAAAGTGTGATACACTTTATAGTGGAAAATGTATTTCCTCTACAATGCTGATGTGGGCCCTGAGTAGCGGGACTCTTCACTTGTGGTTTTCCCAGGCATCTTCAAAGTTGGGCAGAACAGTTAAGGGCAGAAGGAAATGTACCCTTTGATGTCAGTGGACAGCACGAAATAAATGCACATTATAATTACAGTTATATCAGGCATGTCTTCTGAAATCTTTTACCATCGAGGTTGACTCACAGTGTGTTATAAACAAATTAGAAACAAGCAGGCAATTTTCCAAGTGGAAATTCTGCTGATCTATTTTAGAGCCCATGTAATTCTTATTGGACTTTTTAATATGTACAAACAGACAAAAGTATTTTCAAGAATTATATAAATTTTCAAGGTGTTGCTCAGAGCATGATATTACAAAAACTAGAGTCAAGTGGCAATAGTTTGATATCAAAAATAAAACATTTGTGGAAAAATGTGTTCTGTGATTTAAGTTATCTTTCTAGAAAATATGTACTTACATTAATAATATATCTGAAAGTCTTTTTAAAACTTGTTTATTATTTAGTTTCATGGTTTATGAAAGGAAGAGTTCTTTAGTCATGTCTGACTCTTTGCGACCCCATGGACTATACGTTCCGTTGAATTATACTTGAACCCTAAAACAATATCTAGTTGACTCACTTGAAACAGTAGGTTCCAACCTTTTTTGGCACCAGGGACCAGTTTCGTAGAAGACAATTTTTCCATGGACTGGAGGGAAGATGGTTTCAGGATGATTCAAGGACATTCTATGTATATGTATTGTGCACTTTATTTCTATTATTATTTCATCAGCTCCAACTCATATCATCAGACATTAGACTCTGGAGGTATGAGACTCCTGACTAAAACACATCTTAACTATCTACCAAAATACAAATAAACACACTGTTATATGGAAGCCAGCCTGTGCTGTGTTGTGCGTGTGATCTATCGTGTCCAACTCTTTGCGACCCCATGGACTGTAGTCCACCAGGCTCCGCTGTCCCTGGGATTCTCCAGGCAAGAACACTGGAGTGGATTGCCATTTCCTTCTCCAGGGGATCTTCCCGACCCAGGGATCAAACCCCCACCTCTTGAGTCTGCACTGACATACGGATTCTTTACCACTAGCACCACCTGGGAAGAAATCAACCTATCTACACGCAAAGGATGCCTAGATCCTGCCTGGTTTGGAAAGATCATTTGTGACCACCCAAAATCTCCCAGAAAGAAAAACTAGAGATTCTGTGCTGTTATTTCTGACTTATGATGAGTAAGATGACGGCAATATATTTGGGTCATTTGTAGATGTTGAATTAATCTTCCCATACCCACAATTTTTGAAATGTATTTTTCCTTAGGGTAAAAGAAATGCATGTACTTCAAAAATATTAAATTGTAAACCTTGTTTAAACCTTAACTAATATAAAATGACAAAAGAAATAAAGCAAGCATATTCCAGAACTCACTTTTCAAAAAAACCACTATCGTGTTTTGGTGTTAAAATAGTTA